AAAAAAAAAGGCTGGGGAAAGAATCAAGAAACACTTCCTGGAACCCATAGCTTATTTACAGGGACTAGAGAGTGGGAAGAAAGCACACTTAGGTGAGTCTGAGACAAGACAGCAGATTTAAGAGCCTTAGCAGGCCCTGCCAAGGAGCTGGACTTCATCCTGATATAGAAGCTATGCAATTAGAGCTATTTTGAAAACAGAACAAAGGAAAAAAATGAGTGAGCTAAGGGTTCATGAGCCTAAAAACTTAAAATCTGAGTATCACCCAGGAGAGTGAAACACTCAGGATAGTAAGTCATTGTAAAATTAAAGGAAACGTAAAGTCAGATTCATCTGCAAAAATACTTATTTGGTTTCTACTGCATAAAAGGATGCGTAACCACTCCATACACCACAGCATCAGCTTCTGGAGGGGAATCTGTGTGAATAAACACGCTTTCACTTGGTGTGCTGAGTGAAAGATGCAACTCAGAAAGCCGTTCGTCAGAAATCATTTCACAACCAGTTTGTACCAAATGGGAATCCCCAATACTCCTTCTCCCCGCGTGTCCCACTCCTAATGAGTATGCATGCACTTCTGCAGAGGAAAAAAAAACCTGTTAGTTCTAACTGCCCACCACAAGCACTTTTCTGCATTTTAGTCACTGTGGACAATTTCATCTTTGAAACTGAAATAATGCTTTGCTCTGACCTCAGTGCAAAACCTCCAGAGTTTCGAGTTAAACTCACTTGCTCGCACCTGTCTTTTTGGAACTGTACAGATAACCAGGAGTTCATCTGTAGTTCTCATAGTGTCTAATTTGGGGGAGGGGACAAAATGAGAAGTGGGGTCCTGAGATGCTGACCTGTTTTGAAGATGGAAGACCCCGAAATAGGTCTTCAAGATCGAATGTCACCAGCAAAGGTGTAGGTAAAGTTGATTTTTAACCCTTAATGACAGAAAAATACAGAGCTTCAGTTACAGTCACAGGTGAAGAACAGAATTTGGTGTGTTCTTAGAAGGGAAGCAGCTTCAGATTCACAACCTTCATTCGCAGCGGCATACTGCAAGCATGTGAATCTGATCAGTTCCCGGCAAACAGAAACACCCGGTGCCGACCGTTCAGAGCCAACAGTCTGTCAATCGTGGACAAGACATCCGCGGGAATTAATTCTGACGCTGTCTCTTTAGGGTATATTAATCCGAGAGCCAGGGTGAGCAGTACATTTTAATCTGCGACATTCACCAAGAGGGAAAGAAGAGAAAAAGCAAGAAAAGCACGCCGAGGTTAACCAGATGTAACAGGCTAACTGGCACGTCCAATAAGCAGGTCACATTTTGAGAGGCTGTTTCTATCACTGTAATTAGAGGAGCGCTTGGGTCTTGCTAACTCTGAGGAGGAAAAAACAAGTTGGCTCATTCCTTTTCCAGTAGTGAAAGGAGGAGATAAGGCTGTCCCGGCTCTCAGACAACTGCTTTTAGAAGCAGCCAGAGCAGGACAGAGACTCCTGACTGGAGACAGACCTCCCAGGTTTGAATCTCAACTTCAACAATGAGGCCAGACAAGCTTACTTCTCTCCCTTTTAAGAAAAAAAAAAAGTGGACAAGGACCAGCTCTCCACCAGCTTCATGAGATGAAGTGAGCACTGAGCAGATCAAACCTACAGAACATCAAGCTGAAGAAAAATCAAAAGGCAAATCTGCGTCCTGTCATTTCAGCTCTATAAAGGCACACGCTTGTCTTCATCTCCGAGAACCTTAAGGAGGTTCCATGTCTTCAAGATCTATCCTGCACTTTCTTCTCCCCCGTGTTTAAGGTCCTTGGTTCTACCAGGACAGGAAGCAACTTCTCACAACGGAGTGGTCCTGGGCATCTGTGCAGGGTTGTACCCCTGCACGGCCACATAAGGATGGCGCAGAACCCACCAAGCCAAAGTGGGAATAACCCAATGAATCACTCCAGACAACTTCCCTGCTTCCACTGATGCACTATCTTGGAGAAGGGAAGGAGGTGGGAAATCACCCTACATGCTTTTTCACATCCTTACAAGACATATAATGCTTTCTAAATGGCACAGACTACAACCCCAGTTTTAAGGACTAAAACTTATTTCTTATTCTCTCAACTCTTACTTAACACTTTGCAAGTAAAACGATGAGTATTTTAGATTTAAAGCTAACTTACTCCACGAATATGTGACTCATCTGGACCATATGCACCTCTAGCTGAAGTATACTTAGCCACAGATATTTTATCTACTGACCAAAGCAACACACTTCATACTGAGAGCTAGAAGACGCAGTCTCCATCAGCTGATGGCTGAGGAATACTAAAGCAGCCTCGAACTCCAGCTGCCATCTCCAGAGCGTGTGCTGCCAAAGGCACAGATGAGAACAAGTCATTCTCCCGAATAAGAATGAGACTATCAAACAGAACCAACGGGAAAAGTTAGAGAACATTAAGAGAAAACTTAAATATATTCTAAAACGGCCCGATGTTAAGATTGAGGCAATTGCTGAAACAGGAAACCCTGGGTAACTATTGTGTGATTAAAAGCACTGTCCTGAGCTAACACATCCTTAATTAAGTTACAACAATAAGGCAATGGGTTAGCACAGGCATATTTGAAGTCAAATACAGATGACACATACTAAACAATTTTAACAAGGAGTTAGCACGCTACAAATAGACTTACCCTTGAAATGGATTCTGAGAATTAAAATCTGTAAATGCAATAGGGGAACTCTATTCAAGAGATCTGGTTTAATTCTTTCAAGCAAAGAACAGTGCATAGAGCACATTTTCACTGCTATGATTTGTCTGGTTCAAAAATCCTGAATTTCAATTAAGGAAATTCACAGGACAAATATAAATAGTTGAAACATGTTTCGAAACGTGCTCAACCTTATGCAGGAGACGGAACTTGAAAGGCCCTTTTCACCTACCACAGCAAAAATGTAGAAGACTTTACAGTATCCACTATTGGTAAGAATGGAGAGAAAGGGGTAAGCAAATGGAATATGAAAAATATAAATTGGACTCTTTGGAGATCAACTTAGCTGTGCTCATTAAAATTTAATGTGTATACACACACTTTTAGGTATCTATTGTAGAAATACACGTATTAGTGGTCCAAGAGTACTGACAGCTGTATTTGGACTAATAAGAACTTAGCAACAATTAAAATGTCCATCAGTAGAGACACAGGTGAATAAATCTGGTATCTCCACACATGCAACCGAATAAAGTAGAACTGACATTTTGAGATGGAAGGACATCTAGCGCCTACTGCTGAGTGAAAAATGTCGCAGGATGATTGCGAAATTTGATCTCTTTAAAAAGCATGTGAGTAAGTGAATGAATGGATGTCTTAGACATTATCCCTGAGGGCGAGAAGGGAAAAGGGTATATACAATTTCATTTTTATACAGTGTTTCTACAATTTTTGTATCACTTTTATAATTTAGGTAGAAGGGAGCGATGCTGACAGACTTAATCTGCTAATCCACTATAAATTCTGGGAATTTAGATGCTCTGGGAAAACCATTCAGGTCCTGCTGTAGCCTCGTGTGCCCACTCTTCAATGTCACCAACAAAATCTGCAGGTCGAAAAGGGACCAATCCTATCCTAGGATCTTTGTGTGTAGAAAAGGATAGTTTTTTTAAAAATAACATACCGACCTTCTCTTCGACAGTATCTAGAACATTTAGTAAACATGTTTCCTCTAAGTTTCCATAGGTTCCCCATTCAAACATATCAAAAATGACAGTAGATACGAATCATACTGGCCCAGAATCACAAGGTTACATTTTTAAACTTCCTAAAATCATGTTCAAAGACTTCAAACGTTGCCTATGAAGTTCAGGTCCACCACTTTGAGAACTGCAAAGAGCCACAGCTTCCTTTTATCTCTTATGAAGAGACTGGCAACACGCCTTTCTTATTCTTTTTCAAAGGACTCTGATTTCTCAGTGTAACTCTCAAAATAATTTATTCAATAGGGGTTTTAAGCACATTGCGAAGAAACGTAGAATACTGATGAATTAGTCCACAAAATACCTGCACCTAAGACATGTTTAGAAAATGCATATAAGAAACAAGCTCACAAATCTGCAGGGTTTAAAAGGCAACCAATTTACCAGAACAATTTTTAAGTTATAAAAAGTACACCCAGTGTCTCTAATGTGCTTAATATTAAACAGCGTTAGGATAATATTTTCCAGGCTACAATGTACTTTCCACTTGCCCTAATAATAAACCTATGCCCAGATGGGAAATGTAACCAGAACTAAATAAACATAATATAGACAGTGAGCAGGAGAGCCAGAAGGTGGGCTAATGAACGCAGGATGCCTTCACAAGTGAAAGTGTTCTAAAAAAAAAAGTTTAAACAGAAGAGTATGAAAAGCTCAGACGCTAGATGTGCATAAAATGCAACCACAGGTCAGAGGAGGAAATGGATTTCTTTGTGGACGCAATGGATAGCATTAGATGTCTGTCACATTGTTAAGGTGAAGGAGTAATGTGCCTCGCCCTACAGCAGCCAGTCGTCATCAAGACATCTACACAACTTTTAAAACGTGCCATCTCTGTTCTGGATGACAGTTGGTGATCAGAAAACAAATTTATCACTGTGATGTATGGCCTACAACTAGGAGTCCAACCCAGTGCATAGGCAGAAGATGAACAAAAACAGGAAGAAAGAAAAGCCACACAAAGTGATTCCATTTTTTTCCGAACACCCACACACAGACAAGTCTCCGACAAGCATGTTCTTGGCAACAAAAATAAAGTTACAGGAAGGTTTTTTTCCTTCAAGAAAAAGGCAGCTCTATACGTAGATTACCAGGCAATACCATACGATTTTTTTTTAAGGCCCAAATTTACAGCCCTCATTTCGAAAATATCTAAGCAACATTTTTTTGGATCACAAAGCAAAGACGACCAGAAACACTGTTCCAGTTTGGAACGCTTATTTCACGTTGTACTTGAAAATGAAATCCAACATGGCAGCTTACCTTGGCACTGGAAGCCTTGTTTCCCAAACCCCCTGAAAAACAAACAAGAACAAGATTTCTTAACATTGTGTGTTGGATACCACACTTTAAGCCAGTTATGTGACAAAGCATCCTACAGAGTTAAAGATTTGTACGTGAAACCCAAGGACTTGACAGTAAAACATGTCTAACTAGCTAACTGGAGTACAACGCTGTCAATTCAACTTTGAAGAGGTCTGACCTCCCTAAAGCTCGCTGAACCATTTCAACGTATTCAAGGTTCATTTCCAGCTTTTCACACTTTGTTATCGATACTCAAATTTCAAGGCAAGAATATGACTACATTCAAAGTTGTTGGCTACAATATTCAAGTAACAAAAAGGACCTTATGGTCAAAAAAAAGTGGCTTAATACGGTCCTTAAAGACCAACTGAAAATTGCTTTTTCTCCCTAAAAAGACAACTAGAAAGTGGCTTCATCGTTTCCTGTGAATTTGTTTAAAACAGTATTTGTCATCTAGAAGCTGCCAAACAGCACCACTCTTAACACTGAATTTTTGCTTAAAGGAGCCAGGTTTTACAAATATCATTCGTCTTGTTTGCAGGTGAGATTATGATCTAATTTTACTGAGAAGCAGTAGCACTTAAAGCACATTCAAAAGCTATCCTGCTCTTGTAAATTACTTTGGAGAATTTACTCTCTAAGCAGAGAACCCAGACGTGGACATTAAATTGCAAATACCATTCCAACTAGGATGAACTACATTAAAATCCTCAGAAGGTTATGAGTCCATCTCTTGCTTTACATAGCATTTTAAGTTTACAAAGCACTTCAAATATCTCTATGATTAGCTTAGTCCTTCCCCCCTCCAAAAAATACTTAAACCCAAATAGTTTTAAAATACCAGTGCTTTAGTATTTAGATGATTCATAAATCAAAGGACCCAGAGAATAAAGAAAACTGGAAAATTAAAACCTGTTACACAAATTCTAGACAATATTTTCTGGAACTTCCAAGTGGCTGCCTTACAGTTAAGTGGAGAAGGGGTGCAGGGATTACTCTGGGAGGAACAGGACAGGGTGATCTTTATTTTCCACTTCATGTTACACCTGTGACCTGACATGCCACAGCAGTTCACCAGGAGCTAACAACTGATAGTGGAAAGACTTTAGCCAGCCTGCAAATGTATGTTGCAAGTCCCTTTTCCAACTTATCTACTTCCTTCAAAAGTAATCAGCAGTCTAACTGATCCCTTTTAATGGGATTTCACAGCTGACACAGGAGGCTGAAAACACCCCCTTAACTAAATGCAGTATCTTCTCTGCCCTGATGCTCCAAGCACTTATTTTAATTTAGCCTTATCTACAATTACCTACTCCTTGGAGTGCAATTGCTTCATATGCTGACTACACGTTGGAAATCATTCATAGAGGTGGCTGTGCTTGTCATAAGTGTGCTTTTGAGCTGATTTCTAAAAAGGATTGGAAAAATTAAGCATTTATTAGCACTTAGAGATGATTCCCCAGGTGTGGTGCATTCAGATAAAGTCGACCATAAAAGGAAAATGAAGCACTTATCAGCACCACCTTTATAGGATTTGCCCTTAGAGATGATTTTCCCCAGGCGTGACAGATCCAAGTAGCAGCATCCATAAGTTTTCCGGAGGGCCCCAGCAAGATACTTAAGCCACACAGCCAGCTGCTGTCAGGGAGCACTACGTGGCTGCCACCCTGGGGCCGCTCCCCAGCCTAGGAAGGGTGGGAGTTAAGGAATACTAGCTACAGCTCATACTTAGGGACCTTCCTGCATCCAGGAAGGCAACCTGAAAAAACCTACTGCTCCTCCAACTAGAGCACCTGGACTTACTTTAGTTTCAGCTTTCTAAACTTGGGGGGGGGGGGTCGCCGATCTCTAATAAAAGTTCTGGTTAATAAAAGCCATGATTCTCTCACTAGGGAAAAAAAGCATACACACGTACACGATTTCATCTAGTTTTACAGGGTTCAGAGACCCCCTGAAGCCCATCCACTTACCAATTCCCCCTAAAGCTCCCAGGCACCCCCCAAGTTAATACCTGCGTTCACTTAAAGTTACCTGAATTCTGACACCTTTAGCCCATCCAGTGTTTTTCTTAAATAAGGCCTCTGTCCTCATCAACAGGGTTACAAGTCTAATCTCGTGTTGACAGGGTCTATTTTAAATGACTCCCTCTGCCCTTCTGCCATTTGCTTGCTCCGTTTAGTTCCCCCTCCCCCACTGCAAGCTTTCAACAGTTTGCTGCCTCTCCAACTCTCCGGGCTCACCCAGGAAAGTCGAAGTCTCTCCGTGCCCAGTAGATACAAGCTATACAGTAGGCAAGGATCCAAGGTTCCAGGGGAGTTCAAGCCCGAAGGGAAACACAAAATACACACTCCCCGAATGCGCCCAGCCTGGCTAGCCAACAACTTGGACCGCGCCGCTGCGTCGCCGCCGCTCCCCCGCTTACTCCCGGGCGTGTTTCCCCGGGAAACTCTGCCCTCTGGATTCTAACCTCGCTTTCCTCTTCGCTCACTCCCCGGCAAACGGCTGCTCGCCGGTCTGTACCGGAGGGCGGGAGCGCCGGGGAAAGACGGGGGGCACCAGCCCGGTGGAAGGGATCAATGTCACTACCACGCCGGGCCAGCCTCCCTCCTGAAGCAAGGGGTGTGTGACCGGGAGGCTACTTCCCCGGGAGTCCTGTCCGCGTGCGTCAGTGGCCGGGGCGGCCAGGCGCGCGGGTGTCATTCCGGGAGAGAGTTGGAACTCCCGCCGGCTCTCCAAGTTCCCCGAGTGAGTTAGCCCCAGGTGGGGAGACGCGCCCGTACGGGGGGGGGGCGGGCCAGGCGAGGGTCCCCGGGGGCGAAAGGATCCCGAACTGAACTAGAAGAGGCTAGTGCCCGGCCGCCGAGAGAGGGGACCGGGCTGCCGGTCCGTGCGCCCCGCCCCGCGCGCACCTACCAGATGAAGTCGGTGCAGTGGCTGCAGAAGGTGGGCTGCTTAAAGAAGCGGGCGATGAATTTGTGGTTCTTCACCTCGTGCACGTTCTTCTGTCTCAGCGCCCCTTTGCGGGCGAAGCGGTTGGCCACGTCCTGAGACGCCGTGGAGTCGTTGGCCGGGAAAACGTCAGCCATGGTGCCCCCCAACCACCTCTTGCCTCCGCCGGGGAGTAGCAGCCGGGGAGGGCCGGGTGGGC